CAGTCGGGTCATTCATTAGATACACCATTTGCAGCGCTCTGGCCCCTGTGATGGTTCCATTTTGCCAAGTGACCCCGCCAAAAGTGCGTTTAAAGTTGAATGAGAAGGTACGGCCATTCCGCATCAATGAGCTTGAGTTGTACGCTTTGGTTATGTCTTTTTGAATCTGTTCCAGGGTTTTACCCTCGAGATTACTCTCATTATACTGCAAAAATTCCAGCGGGTTAATAATCATGCAGTCGTCTTCCGTACGAGCTTTCTCTCCTAAGCGGGTGACACAGAATTCAGAGTAGTCTCCAGTCGCGCGATGTGCCTTGAAAGCCTGCCGCAGACAATCAGGGGAAAGAACATTGGGATGATCAGAAGATGCCACTAAAAGGATGATTTCTTGACGAACTTTTACTCTGAAGTATTTATCGGCTATATTTAAATCGTCAATGGCTCGGCTGCTTTGTGGGATAAAGAGTTTCACCGTTCTGTTCTCTGCCCGGAACCAGACAAAACCCACGGAAAATATGGCAACGAGGGCAAGACAGAGAGAGATGACGATTATCGGATGCTTTGCGATTCTTTCCCCGAAAAAATCAAAGAAGCGCTCTAAAAGACTCGTATACCAACAGCAGAACCTTGACCACCAGAAACATGGACTGAAATTGGATGAACAGCAACTGTAACAGAAAAGAACAATAAGAAAAACGTCTGGAAACTGTTTATCACCAAACGCACCATCATTCCTTGGCCTTTTTCACTCTGCTTTCAAATAAATAGCCAAATTCTAAATACTTAAAGCGATGACAGTCGGTTTTGGTTTTTTAAAGTGAGTTGATGAGATAGATTAACGACCGTATGGACATTGAGAAGCTGACGTTTTCCTCTGACGATCAGCTTATCTATCTCCCTAGGGTGGCCATTCTACCTTATCAACTCTGTTGATAAAGCAAATCTTTGTATTAGCAGCCAATAAAGCCGGTTAGTCACGGGATAGCTATCACTCTGATACCTTTTATGTAAAAATACAGAGAGAACTGATTCAGAATGAAACATGACATTATCTGGCTGGAAATATGAATAAAACCTTTCTACAATTTGAACTGCAGTCCTCGACCAAAAAAGTGACAAGGCGAAGAATATTAAAATATGTGTTCATGTGGTAAGGTTGAATGGAGCAATGGACCCCTTTTCATTGTGGCTTTCGTAGAGGTCAATGGACTGAATCTGTCGAAAAATCTCTTTTATCGAGACTATTAGCCGAAATATGGACCAGGGATGTCTGACAAGGGCAGTATTTATACACTTGAGGAACGCGTTTGACACGGTTGATAATGAGTTACTCTTGGAAAAGCTGTGCGGATGTGGCATGGGAGCTACTGAGTTAGTCTTGTTTAAGGACTACCTCAGTAACAGAACCCAAGTAGTGGGGCACCAGTCCTTTTTCTCCGATCCCTGTGCTCTGCGCTCTGATGTGCCCCCGGGGCTCAATGTTGGGGCCACTTTTGTTTGTTTTCTTTCCAGATGCAGTGTCGCATTGCAGTATTATGTTAACTGCCTTTAGTATATACTAAACCAGTGGATAGCGTTTTTCGCGCGCTCTGATTGGCTACTCAACCTACGGCTATCCAGTGCTATTCACTGATTCACCTCCAGTTCCTCCGAGCGAGCGACGCCAAACTCGCTACGAGCAAAAAGGATTCCCGCGGTTTGCTGCCGTAACAAACAAAGATATTTCACAAATAATCAAACAAGCTGTTACCGAAATACACGAAGAAGGTGACGAAATTTGGTTTGGAATTTTATACAGGTAAAGCTTTGTCTGTTTGACTTGAATTTAAAACCGGTGATAAAGCTTTTTGTTTACAAATGCAAATTAGGTCTTGCGTTACTTTAGTTAGCTGACATGTTCATAAGTAAGCTTAAACATAGATTAAATAGTTTTTTTTTTTTTACAGAATACAGAATGGTTTTGAATACAAAAAAGATTCACAAATCCTTTTGAAAAATTTTCCCCGCAAGAGCGAAACAAATGCCTTCAAAAGTTTTATTGGTCGACAAGAAAACGCGACAGCCGTTTGGTCATTTGCTTGCCGAAATTGTAATTGTTGGCCTCAGTAAATGATTTAAAAAATCACCATTTTTGAGCTCCATCATCTCACCGTTTTAGTGTGTGCTATTCGCGGCTTGGTCAATAACCACCTCCACTTCGCTGAATAATTGTTATTGATTAAATATTTTTTCCATATCAGCAACTTATGGTGATTAAGATAGTATGCAGCAAATTTTTTATTTACATGGAAACAATTAGGCGGTTTGTTGTAACTGGGAACTTCAATAACTATTCCACCGGTCGCATCGCTTTCATGTGTTTATGTTTATGTTTGTGTAGCGCATTTCTGATATCATTTATGTTTAATAACTTCTTTGAAAGAAGTAATTAGAGCATAAGGTCCCTAGGCTTTTTTTTTTATGAGCCATTTGTGTGCTTTTTAACGGCTTATGTTCTTTGGTAAAATTTCTTTTTGGTTTTTTCTTGGCTTGAAAAGGGCGGGTCTTTTCTTAGAAAACGTGGCGTTAGTTATTGGACGCTCAGTTTCTGTTTGAGTTAAGTATTCAGAACAGAATCAGTCGATGGCAAACAGTACTTGAAAACGAAATGACTTTTATGTGGTAAGTTACAGTGATGAACCTTGCCTCGAGGTGTTTATACTCTTGTTCATATCTTCAGTAATAGTTCAGTAATGCGATTTCGGTGTTTTTAGTAGTAACATTGCTCTGATGTAGGTGACCATTGCTCCCAGTTTTGTACTTTACATTCTAAGACTGAAAAATTCAACAACAAAAGAGTAAGAAGGGATTTTTCGGAGTTTTCCGAAAGTTCATTTAGCGATGAACTTTCTCAGTTGCTTAATAATGAAAATACGTTTAGCCCAATACAACATGCTGACATTGCATTCTCCAAATTTTACACCACATTAAATAGTCTTGTAAATAACAATGCACCCTTAAAAGTGTTCACTAAACGTGAGCTGAAACAATTTTCCAAGCCATGGATAACAAGTGGGATTAGAAAGACGATTAAAGTAAAAAAAATTCGTTGTTTATTTCGGCTGACACAGCATATTACAAGATTTACCGAAATAAGATCACTACACTTACGCGTTATCTCTTTTGCAAACTGAGGACGTTTACGTTGAAGCACCTATTAATCTCAGAGGAATAAAAAATCCTAGTGAGAACTGTAGAAACCTTTAACCTTTATCTCGGTCGTAGACTTTATTTCAACTTAAATCAAATTTCTACTTACTTTGTTAACAAGTTCCCTGTAATTTTTATTTTATATTCTTGCTTTTCCTTGTCTCTATCTCTTTGTAATTTAATTAATTAATTTATTATTATTATTATTATTATTNGCCTCGAGGTGTTTATACTCTTGTTCATATCTTCAGTAATAGTTCAGTAATGCGATTTCGGTGTTTTTAGTAGTAACATTGCTCTGATGTAGGTGACCATTGCTCCCAGTTTTGTACTTTACATTCTAAGACTGAAAAATTCAACAACAAAAGAGTAAGAAGGGATTTTTCGGAGTTTTCCGAAAGTTCATTTAGCGATGAACTTTCTCAGTTGCTTAATAATGAAAATACGTTTAGCCCAATACAACATGCTGACATTGCATTCTCCAAATTTTACACCACATTAAATAGTCTTGTAAATAACAATGCACCCTTAAAAGTGTTCACTAAACGTGAGCTGAAACAATTTTCCAAGCCATGGATAACAAGTGGGATTAGAAAGACGATTAAAGTAAAAAAAATTCGTTGTTTATTTCGGCTGACACAGCATATTACAAGATTTACCGAAATAAGATCACTACACTTACGCGTTATCTCTTTTGCAAACTGAGGACGTTTACGTTGAAGCACCTATTAATCTCAGAGGAATAAAAAATCCTAGTGAGAACTGTAGAAACCTTTAACCTTTATCTCGGTCGTAGACTTTATTTCAACTTAAATCAAATTTCTACTTACTTTGTTAACAAGTTCCCTGTAATTTTTATTTTATATTCTTGCTTTTCCTTGTCTCTATCTCTTTGTAATTTAATTAATTAATTTATTATTATTATTATTATTATTCTTTATTTAGACTTTTAGTTTATCAAAACTATCTGTTTTTGCTCTACCCGCCTAGATTAGCCCTGCTATTCGCGTTTGGAGCAGTTAATTTGTGAATTTTGCGTTGGTGTGCATCGAAGCGCCTGCCCAACGAAAAATTATATGTACATATTAAGCTCTCTGGTTAACAAATTACTTTTCGACTCTAAGATGTCCAAGACTGTTTAGGACTTTCAGTGTAATCAGAAGGTTCTTTTCGCCGCTGGTGATAAACTAATCCAAAGGAAACCAATGAGAAAATTTGTAAATCAGAACGATCCTCGACAGGGAGAATATCAGCCTGGCTTGCCATTTAATAAAAAAAACGACCGAGAAGTAATTCAGCTCTTTAAGAGTTTGAAGCAGTTATTGTTGACCAACTGATGAAACTTATCGGCAACGTCTGCCCTGTGATGAAGTCATGCGATTTAGACCAAATCCTTTCCTCGCTACTAACAAGATACCTTCAACTACCTTACTACCACTTATTCCCAGGATTTTCTATCTGTCCTCAGACACCGCTCTTATGCCAAAGAGAGCATTAAAAAGCGCCCAGCTCCCACCTTGACGAAGAAGAGTTACAAGACCAAGAAGAAATTTTCGTACCATTTCTCAAAAGCATATGAAAGTTTACGATAGCCTATAACGTTTTGCAAGAGACCTCTAATCAGATTGTGAAAAAAAAAACCTAGTACTGAAATTGCTTCTAGTTGGTTAAAGTACATCACGATATCCTCTGTGTGCTGGAGAAAAAGGACACTGTCGTACCTCTCGGCGGCCTTGACCACTACATTCTATACTCTCTCTCGTTGGAAGACTTGAAGTGATTTTGGACACAACGATTTGGCCCGGTTCAAGTCATTTACATTTGAGCATAGGCAGTTTATTACAGATGAAGACTGAGCCAATCGCATTTTCAGGATCTGCATCATGGAGTACCTCAGCGATTTGTGCTGTGGGGTCCATCGCTGGTTCTCCAATCCACTTTTCATCTCTGCCCTAGCTGATATAAGTCATATACATTTACATTGACGTTAATTTTTTACTAGTAAGATTCACATGTCTTCCAAGTCTTTAGTTGAGAATGTTTTTTTCCGCCAAGGAGAGTATTAAGGAGTTACCTGTTTGACCTGTTCGACCAAAGAAAAATGGAAACCGTCGCCAAATGCCAAATGACCGTTTTTTTCGTTCCCCTTATCCAAGTTCTACAGTTCTCTCGCCAACGGTTGGAGTGTGTTTATGAAGCTCATTGTTAGAAAGAATATTGTAAATAGAAGCTCCAAGTTCAATGTGAACGATAAGCCCAACTGCTGCAGACAAAAGATCATGGAAAACAAAGGTAATATAGAGAATATATGGAAACTGAGTATTGAAACGAACTGTGCTAACAAAACCTGTCTCACAAGAACCAAGCCATATAAAGATTGACAATAGGCTGGCATCTATGCCTGATGAAGCTGCGAACGCATTTAAAGAGTACGTTAAATTTTTTACTTCTTCACCAACAGAGATGCGAATAACCACCTTCTCCGTTTTGTCACTGACAACAGCGAGTTCTACCCGCGTAGACCGGATTTGGCGAACACTGCACGGATTTGAAATCAGTGAAATATTAAGCCCTAGTAACTAAACGTTGCAAGCTAAGGTCTCACCTTTGTGTTGTATGGAGAAACATCGTTCAAGAAATTCCGTCGTATCGTTATCTTCCTTTCACATATTATACAGTAACAATGTGTGTATTTAGAGTTAGGCGGGAAACCAGAGGGAGCCTCTGCGCGCGAGAGGATAGAGAGGGGTACTTCGATCACAAGGTAAAACCACGTGATAAAGAGCAAAACGTCCTTCTGGTGTTTCAAAATATTGCGGCCGTTGAATGTGCGTCTCGGAATATATGTTGGTTTATAATACGCTTTAACTGGCGGACATTTCAATCGTTTCAAGAGTAAGAACATGGCCAGAACAGAAAGAACACAACTCGAAGGGCGACATCTGCTATTTGGAGAATATTTGCGGAGCTGAACAACCCTAAACGTGCACTATCGAAGGTGAACTTAACATCGATGGAGGTAAGCATGTTTTAGCTTCGTTTTTAAACTTGGAATTATTTTGAATGAATAATAAAACAATTACTGAATTCGGCTTTCGTATCACGGCCTCGACGGATGACACCCTCCTCGATCTCCATAATTCTTTATATGCTATGAAAGCCGAATTCATTAATTGTTAATTTAAAAATTTGCAAGAATGATATATCAGGTTCTTAGAGTATATTTAATTGTTAACAAAACTGGTGGAGCATGAGCTTGCAAATGAGAGGCACATCTGTCACATTGTTGCCGGATCTGTATATAACTTCAAAGACGTTCTTACCAACTTTAGCGATATTCTCATAAGTAAAACATTTGTTACACAAAAAACGAATTTAGAAAAGCAATGTTTGCATGGTCAATATTACCCACCTGCGCATAAATATTATTACGAAGCGCTTTTATGTAGTTCTGAAGACCTTGAAATCTATTTACGGTGTGTTGCTAACGGAATGTAAATTACAAACACAAGACAAACATCCACTCGTTGCTTTTTCAGTCGATGATGAAAATTACTTAATATTTCAACTCATAGTAAATACAAAACTTACAGAATAGTTACGTCTTACGTCTTACCAGTTTGTCGATTGTACCCCTGATACTACATCACCTTACCTTACTTTGCTATTCATTGGAAAGAAGGAAAACATCTATTGTGTCTGAAACAATGCACGGTTGCGTGAAACTAACAGTATAAACAACTTGAACTACGATGTGGCTCTTTTTTTCCACGAAAGTCATCTTAGTCGAGTCTTTTGGTCTAATTGAAACCCTCTGTCTTCCGTTTAGATAGTTATTTCTGGTATACAGCTGTAGGTTCAATCATTTTGTGGTCCGGGTTACGGAAATTTTCTTGCTGACCTTAGTGTTCTTGAAAAATAAAGGGTCATTAAGATAATATTCTCAGCTTTGCAAGTCACAGATTGATTAAACAAAGTAAAAGTCAAAAACTTGATAATTAACGGCCGCGCATTTAGCATGTTCCAGTTTGCTATACAAAGAAATAATGTATTCGTTTCTCTTTAGTTAGAACTTCCGTTTAGTCAATCTCTGATCAACGTATTTCGCCAGTCCGGATTCAGCTCCAAGAAAACAACCGATCAATAGAGCGTTTGATAGGAAGCCTTTGTCATAGGAATGGCGGGAGAACATAATGTCTATGGAAGTCAAAGTTAAAGGTTAAAATATTGAGATGTAGTTCATGAACAGATGTTGGGCCTGCAGCAACTACGGTATTCTAAATGGAAAGTTTTGTTTAAATTTTCTGGCGAGTAAGCTACGGCGAATATATTCGAACACTTATAACAGATAAGCGCGCAGCGAGTCTTGAAATGAAAATGATAAGCAGAACAGGTCTCATAAGTTTCTCCATATTCAAGAAGACATTAAGTCTGTCACTATCGGTTGTTGCAGTGAGCTCCCTGTTCAGTTTCTTGGCCGGGTTTATTTATTGTCTTCAATCTTGATAACATGTTGTTCTTTTGCCAGTTTCTCGTCGGATCTGTAGTTCTAACAATGGCGATATCTCATAAGTAAAAACATTTTTTTAAGGCAGGATCAGATTTGGGCCTAAATATTACAACGCAGCAGGAGGACCTTGAATCATAAACATTTTGTTGCAACTGGTATGCAAATTAAAAACGCTATACATGGTACGATAAAACAGGGTAAATTTTTCATTACAAACTTTAGGGGATAGTGTTTGTTCGTCGATGGTACCCATACTCCATTAACCTTTTCATTTCTTGAAAAGAACCTACTTTGGTATCCATTGGACAGAAGGAATAGATATGTTGTGTATGAGAGCACATAACTGTGCGTGAACAATTTATCGACAATGTGGCAGTTTCANGGGTTACGGAAATTTTCTTGCTGACCTTAGTGTTCTTGAAAAATAAAGGGTCATTAAGATAATATTCTCAGCTTTGCAAGTCACAGATTGATTAAACAAAGTAAAAGTCAAAAACTTGATAATTAACGGCCGCGCATTTAGCATGTTCCAGTTTGCTATACAAAGAAATAATGTATTCGTTTCTCTTTAGTTAGAACTTCCGTTTAGTCAATCTCTGATCAACGTATTTCGCCAGTCCGGATTCAGCTCCAAGAAAACAACCGATCAATAGAGCGTTTGATAGGAAGCCTTTGTCATAGGAATGGCGGGAGAACATAATGTCTATGGAAGTCAAAGTTAAAGGTTAAAATATTGAGATGTAGTTCATGAACAGATGTTGGGCCTGCAGCAACTACGGTATTCTAAATGGAAAGTTTTGTTTAAATTTTCTGGCGAGTAAGCTACGGCGAATATATTCGAACACTTATAACAGATAAGCGCGCAGCGAGTCTTGAAATGAAAATGATAAGCAGAACAGGTCTCATAAGTTTCTCCATATTCAAGAAGACATTAAGTCTGTCACTATCGGTTGTTGCAGTGAGCTCCCTGTTCAGTTTCTTGGCCGGGTTTATTTATTGTCTTCAATCTTGATAACATGTTGTTCTTTTGCCAGTTTCTCGTCGGATCTGTAGTTCTAACAATGGCGATATCTCATAAGTAAAAACATTTTTTTAAGGCAGGATCAGATTTGGGCCTAAATATTACAACGCAGCAGGAGGACCTTGAATCATAAACATTTTGTTGCAACTGGTATGCAAATTAAAAACGCTATACATGGTACGATAAAACAGGGTAAATTTTTCATTACAAACTTTAGGGGATAGTGTTTGTTCGTCGATGGTACCCATACTCCATTAACCTTTTCATTTCTTGAAAAGAACCTACTTTGGTATCCATTGGACAGAAGGAATAGATATGTTGTGTATGAGAGCACATAACTGTGCGTGAACAATTTATCGACAATGTGGCAGTTTCATTTTGCCATGGAAGTACAGTGGGGTCTCGGTTTGCATAAATGCGCTTTGCTTCTTGAAACCTAGTTTCTCTTTCGTTTCCAAAGTTGTATATGCCAGATAATTGCAGGTATCCTTCGCACAGTCAAACGTTAACTAAGTGATCGCAAAATTCATGATATTACAACTTTAGCCAGCCATTTAGCCTGTAGCAGTTTGTTACACAAACAAAGAGTTTATTCCTTTCACCTTCATTATAACTTCCCTTAGTAAATCCTACCACATCTGACATGCTGTAGCTTGGCATGGCGCTTTTGCCGCGCCAGCGATAGAAAAAATACCGGAGAGGATAAACGAAAGAGGCCTCCGAACAGCTTTTTAGATCAAACCTTCATGTACAATGATTTACTAGCGCATGCAGGGATGAATAGCTTGTTCAATACGAGCTGAGGTTACAGGACACTGCTATTTTTATCTTTAAAGTCAAGAATAAATTATTACCTACAAATATATTAGAACTTTATCCTCGTTTGCGGGCAGGTTATAATCTTCGAAACTCTGGTTTCTATGTCCCAAGAGTAAGAACAGTTGCGTATGAAAAACAGTAACTTGAAACAAGTTAAATGAAACATCCCTAAAGAGTTTTAAAGAAAGGACTTGAGTAGATTAATTAATCTAAGGTGACAAGGTGTATGGGATGCTACCTATGTACCACCTAAGTCAGTAATTCAGTAGGAATGATGGTATATTTTAAAGAAGATTCTGCAATATATCTTACTGTAGTTGGTCATGAAATTCTGGTTTGTGTTGAATAGATATCTTGTAACGACCACGTTAAGTAACTTTTATATGTTAATTAATTCTTAAATAATCATTTTTGGTGTAGTCATAAGCCGCATATTGTACTGTGATGACTAATTTTTAGGTAAAAGTGTCCTCTATAAGTGGGCCTCGTTAGGCGTGCTAGAAAAATTGATGACGATAACGTTTCAAAATATTACTTTGTTTTGTCCGTCGCTTTTATTACGATAAGCTGTTTCGAATCACAGCATTTGCCCAAATGCGGTCCGTCCAAGCAGCCAACAGACTGAATCAAGAAATTAACTATAGTAATTCAGTTTTCCTTAATGTTTTTCCTTGTTTTCAGAGGAACAGGAGTTCCTGTCGGACGCACCAAACGGAACACTTGAACAAGGAACTGTTTAAAGACTAATGTTCCCTAGGCAACATAGGTCTTTGTTTTCAGTAAACACTGCGTGAAACTAAATCGGTAAATGATGTGGTGACTCCCACAATCGCCGCTTTCTATTGCTCTTGGTTCTGAGATAACCGTTTTTTAGTTGCCTTGAGCGAAATTTTTTGGTCTAGCGAATCGTTATGGTTCTTACATTATTAGCCCCAGGTGCATTTTCCTTCAACCACTCAGCGACTTGATCCAATTCTGAGTCCATTACCTGCATGTAAATGAGACTACTCGCTCGACCAGAAGAACAAATACAGAGGACAAAATAGACTTCAAAATTTAGTGGCGATGAAGGGGAAAAAAAAGCATATAAAGAGAACGATTTGATACTTTCAAGAAGTATTCACCGCGTGATCGTTTTGAAGTTTGTAGCAATTTTTACCAAACACCATTCTCAAAAGTTATAGAATTTTAAAAAGAGACGGCAGTTTTGATGCATATTCAACTACAAATTTGCCTTAAATGGACTGGTTCACGATAATGCGCATGTGTGAGTTCTGACAGTAGCTGATTGTTTTTAAACGAATCGGAAG